ACACACACACACACACACACACACACACACACAGAGAGAGAGAGAGAGAGAGAGAGAGAGAGAGAGAGAGAGAGAGAGAGAGAGAGAGAGAGAGAGATGGACACACCCCTCATTCATTTGAGGCTCATGGTGTGTTGTGGGCTGGACCAATCGCAGCACAAGCCCTGGTAAATCCCTCTCCCCCGACCCGGAATGTGTGCTCACATGCACAGCTGGCAATTCTGACTCAAGCACCCAGTGCTCCAGATACCATTGTGACACCATGTGAGAAAAAAAATGTAGTATGTGAAAAAATGTGGGCATTGAACCAGACAATCTCATGACACTGTCTCCGCCACGTTTTTATGCCTCCAGTCCCTTTCTTCATTTGTGTCAACTAAACTGCAGCAGTTTTCCTTGTCAAGGTCATCCTTCTTGACAAACACACCTCCACAGTGAGCTCAGCTGTAATAAATATGTTTGCCGAAGCTGTAAAGCAGCAGATTTTAACTTTATAACCTGCATTTTCCATCATGTTGGGCCTTTTAATCCTTAAAGTTTAAATCCATTTTATATCAAGCCTGCTCAAGGAGCTGAGGCCAGCCCTCACAGGCATATGGCAAGAGGACAAGACACCCTTCACAAGTTGTGAGCTATATCACAAGGTCAGCATGTGTGCAGTAGACCCGGTAGTATTTTTTACCACTAGTAGTGATAAAGAGAAACATTTTAATGAGTGTGTCTCTGTTTTTAACCTCCAGACATTTTTTCGATACCAAGCACGTATAAGTCAAGCACAATATGCAAGCTTTATGAGCATGCAGGTGACGTGTGGATAAATTAGATAACTTGGCAAGACAATGATTTAATGATTTATGTGGGATTTGTGGCTTGACACATTGTCTGGACTCAAAGATTCAACTCTGATGAGTAGCACTGAATGTTTTCTCAGCTAACGAGAAATCACCACTGGGCACCTTTAAAAGGTGCTGAAATTTTCTCTGCTGCCAAACATGTTTTCTGGTGGTTGGCCAGGAGCTTCAGCCATTGTAGCATTAACATGACAAGAGGTTATTATATGTGCTCTGAGCAGTAAGACTTCTTCACTAGCAGCCTGGATGCTACAATGACTTGCTATTGGGTTAGTTTTTCTTGTGCCAATATAGCTGCGCATCAAGAAGCACATCAGAAAGCGTATTCCTAATATGCTCTATGCTATATGCTGTAATATGCTTCATGAGGACTGGTGATAGCCACATTATATACACTGTTTTATACAGACTTCATTCTTCCACTTCTTCTTTCTCGGTAACCACTTCAACCCTGTTGCCATGGTTACTGCTACCGTGAGCTGCTTTTTGTCAGTACTGTTGTCTCACACTCTTGCCCCAACTCAACACGCCACTTTCACATATTTCATAATTTCCCTATCCTTTAATGTCCTCTTTGCTTTTGGCACATGTCCTGAAACACACATGCTACTGTGAGATTCGGACACTCACCAGGGCATCATGCGGCCGATGCTGGTCCATTTACTCCGGCTCACGAGAAAACCCACTGTTGGGTCTGTGACGGCATCCCAGGCCCGGCCCACAAACAGGATGATGGAGGCATAGAAGGGATCCAGCTGCAGGGAGGAAGTAGAGAAGGAGTGAAGCGTGAAACTAAAACAAAGAGAACGCCACATTCTTCCTCATGTGAACGGATCCAAAGAGCCATAACACCAACAGGCCTATGGAGACATTTTGAGGCTGTGTAACTGATTAGAATAGGGCAGCCTGTGTATGAACAAAGTAGCATCAAAGTCACTGTAATGATCTCATCCCTTGAGCTGAACAGTCTTTATTTAAGTTCCTATTGTGTACAGTGGAAAAGTCAAATGTTCAAATTGAGCGACAAAGCAAACCAGCAGGGGTGGATATTAATGCGCTTGACCGATCACTGCAGGATGGAAACTGTTAAACTGATCCGAGGCTGAGAAGAGCAAACACGAGATATGCCCTTACATCGAAAGTGTGTTTAGCTCCTGGAACTATGCAAAGTTAAGGGAGTTTCCAACTTTTATGCAGAGTTAGCAAGAGAGCTAACAAACGCCCGAACATTAAATTTTTTTTTAAAAGTATTCCTACATCTTTTATTCCTTATCCCTTATTCCCACAACAACAAAAGTAATCTTTGTCTAAAACAATTAAGTGTTAATGATACAAAATTGTGTTTTTCTCGTTCAACAAATAAGGCCTAAATTTGTGATATGACGTGTGATAGTGTGTGTAACTCTTGTCATTTACCTGAGCAACATCCAGCAGGTATATCTGGAGGAAGAAGCCCAGAATGCTGCCTGTGATCTGGTATGGAGCCCCACCGATGGCGTAGCATAGTTTGCTGCACACGGAGAGACGATTCCTCTGTGCCTTTGGCTGGAAGAGGAGAAGAGGGGAGGGCAGAGGAGATATGTGATCCAGATATATTTAATTTATCATATTCTCAAAGGAGCTGTAATTTATAGTGTGGTGATGGGGCAGTGGTGAGGTGTATACCCTCACCCAACCCTTAGGCCACAAAACTAATGCTGTGTTGAACAACCGGTGACTGTGAGGGACTAAGATTGGCTCATTCATGTCGCCCCACTGCTCAGGATGTCAGATTAGAGACAGATTAGTGTAACTATGCGGTGTTGGTTGATACACAGCAGAGAGTGGTGTGAAACTATGAGGTTACTGTAGTTCACACTCTCTTACACTGATCATGAGGACTCCAGCGCAGCCAATGGCTCTGGCGATGGGATGTTGGAGGTAGTGTGGTTTCATGCTGAGTAGTCAACAGTCAGCAGCCACAGCCAATCACCTGTAGTGGTCGGATGATGTCAGCGAGAGGGTTTTTACAGACTCTTAATTCACATTCACCACACAGACACAAAAGCAGCATCACCTCATGTCGGGAGCGAACTGCTGCCTCCTCCGAACAAACAGGAGTGAGTGATGTTACTCCTCTACCAAGAACAGCACAACTACCACAAGCTGCTGATAATGAAGGAATGCAGCCCGTAGCTTTGAGGATGAATAACTTGTCTAAGTAAAAGAAAATATAATGTAATGAGAGATATTTAGGGCTGCAACTTATCTATAATTTCACTATCAAGCTCTCGGCTTATTAAATACAAGGAGACTGTTAAATATGCCCATTATAGTTAAATATCTTGTTTTGTCCAACCATCAGTTCTAAGCTTAACATATTCAATTTACCAATTTGGGAATAATCTCGGAGCCACTAAACATAAACAGTGAGTTGAATTAAGATTTATAGACTGGTTTAATAGGCATGTTAATCTGTAATACCCCCAACATGTTGAAATTGCATGTTGAACACCCCTCACCTCACCCTCTCCTTCCAAACATGAAAAAGAAACTGTGGTAGCCTTTAATTGTCATAAAAACTCAAAAGGGGTTTAGTTTGTCCAGTCTCGACTAATGTAGAAAAACATGGCGGCCTCCGTAGAGAGGGTCCCCTTGATGTAAATATAAAGTATTAGAATATAAAGGGCCTCTCTCTGGGGTAAAGAAAACTACAATTCATACGATTTAGATGAAAACATCATGAGGATTATTCTACATTACATTTCTGCCAATAGTTCCCTTTCACCTAAATCTTAGACACTGGACCTTTAAGTCGATTTAATTTAACTGTGTCTAATTTGTCCAAACGGCTCGTGCATCATGAATCATGTCGCTCTGAAGCAGCAGCACAACGTCACGCTTCTGCAGCACATCTGTGAAACACCGCTGGATTGAACGTAGTTTGACGGTGTCGGTTTAAATTGAATTAGGACGAGGTCTCTTCAGAAGCCGGTAGCTAGAGCTCAAGCTTGAATCAGCGGTCCCGAAACGGACTGCCAGAGGGAGAGGTGGAAATTCAAATGCCGAGGACGAAGTCAGGGGAGTGTTCGACAAGCCGAAAGTGACACATTTATCCAACGTCCGGTTTATATAGGCGCGTGTTAAGCACATGGATAAAATACGCGACACAAAAACCTCGCTTGATTTCTATCACATCATAATAAAAAGGACTATGTGCGTATATTGAATATCTCTTGGCACTTACCTTTGTAGTCTTGATTTCTGTATTCATAGGTTTGACTGTTAATAAACTCGCTGCGTACTGCTCCGCGCCCTCGCCTCGTGCCATCGTGGTTCCAAGATGATGAAGAAATGTCTTTATATATATCTTGATTTGTGTCTTTGATGTCTTTCAAGCTCAAACAGCCGCTTCACAGTAACATGCTGTGTCTTCTGCGGTCTCTGTATGACTGCGTGTCTCTGACGAGACACTGACTCGTGTCCAGGATCATTAGATTCTACTACGCCGCCGCGTCACGCTATGACGTGACGATCGCATGTTCCGTGTCCTCAGTGGCAGCATTTTTTTCCTGTCACGTGGGGGGCGGCACGAGCACTTAGAAAAATCATCTACCACAAACAATCAACACTGCACCACACATGTAGAAGACTACCATGCACAACAATTTAATATTTAATCATCATCACCCAAAATATTAACATTAGTCAAACGGACCATAAAGGGCTGGAGATAAACCACTTCATTTTTAAAAAAATCTATCGTTTCAGGAACCCTGGGTGAGAGCCTTCTCATTATTCTTATTTGCTTTAAAGGCCACTCATGTGGAGACAGATAGCTGCTCTATTCTTGGACTTGGCCTCTATCCTTGGACAGTTAATAAGTCCAAACTGGGAGCTTCTCTGAAAGCAGACACCACCTGTTTGCTTTCTCTTTCACTTCTGCTATCAAAATAATCATGACAGTTTACAGTAAAGCAGTTTTCTTTCCCTCTCAATACCAGATGTAAATTAGTGAATGTTAGTTGAGCAGGTTCATTAGGAATCTAGTCTTAAAGCTGAACAATGCTGTAATACTTCTGCTTTGAAAAGCGCTGTGTGTGTGACTTGTGTTTTATAAAATGACCTTGCCTTACCTTATCTTTTTGTTGAACCAACCTATTCTTGCTCATCTTCTGTGTCTGCTTTCATAAACATTGTCACAATACCTCACTGTCCTTGTCAGTAAAATGTGTTAATGGACCATTTTGATACTACCAGTGTTATTCAGCTTATCAAGTATTTGCGTCACTATCTCATCTGCTTAAGGTCTACTTTCTAAATATTATTCATTGTTCTTCTAATTTCCAAATCTATCAAGCCCTCGTCACAATTTGCGCACACAAACACATCACCAAAAAGGAAGAAGGAAAAGCCGTCATCTTTGCCTTCTGTTTGATATTTTATTATTATTATATGATTTCCACCTATATCACATGTTGAGGTTTACCTTCAGGTTTACGTTCAGCCTCATAACAATGGACTGCAAAAGACGTGTCTATGCGGTACTGAGGTGGTTCTGACTAATTCAGATATTAAAAAAATATTTCAGTTCAACAGCATCTTTTTTGTTTTAGTTTTTTGAGGATTTGATTCAATGTCACAGGGAGTTTTATGTTTTTTTAAAGTAAAATCTCGAGGTTGTTGAAAATATAATTACATTAACAGAATCATTTTATTCGATTATTAAGATTTCTATTTAATGTTGACTTAACATATAAAGGTAATGTCAAGCTCAAAAGGGACAAATCATTGTGTCAACTGAACAAAAAGTTTTCAGTTTCATTTCAGAACATTTGTGTAGACTTTATTGTATGTATGCAGTTTCCAGTGTATTCAACTGGAGTGATCAAGGAAATAAAAATATCTTTCTGCATTTATTTCAGTGTGGCTAATAAAAGTGAATAGATCTGCTTAAGTCACTCTATGTTTTCTCCCTCACTGTACACCAATTCAGCCACAGTGAAACAAAGTCCACATGGTAGTGAGGTTTTGAATTTAGCTGGTCTTATGACATAATAACCTCAAACATCTTAATCCTGCAGATTTGTTCCCAGCAAAGGTGGGAGCAGCCACTTCTAACTACACCACTTTATGTAAATGAGTAACCACGAGAGCGTAGGATGGCTACACGTGTATATTGTATATGTGTTTAAATCTTAGGCGTAGCATGGTGGTGCACTGGTTAGCACTGCCTTGGTTCAGAGTTTGCATGTCCCCCCCTTATGTGCAGGGATTTCCCCATCCCATGGTACGACATCCAGTTTAGGTTACTTCAAATTGCCTATGCATGTAGCAATCCAAATTTCGTTGAATCACGTTCAATGACAATAAAAGCAATCTGAATCTGAATGGTGTGAATGGTTTGTGTGTGTCAGCCATAGGTGTGTCAGGTCTACGGTGCTTATCACCTAATGTCAGCTAAGAATGGTTCCAGCCCCCCCAGACGCCCAAAGGATATGATGTCTAGGTAATGGATGGATTAATAAAACAGGGTAATTGGCACACAAGTAGAGGACAACAGAAAATTCTTGATTCACACATGAGATGACACTGGTTGGCCACTAGAGGGCCACATGACCCTTAGTGGCCCACTGGAGGGAGACGATGAATGCTGATGATGTTTGGGCAGCAGTGGTGTCTGTGGTCACTTCTCTGTCCACATAGCTGGTGGTCATATCCGTTGACAGTCTGTGCAAACATTTGAAACAGCGGTGGTGGTGGTGGTAGTTGGCTCGTCCTCTGCTGCTACATGTTTCTCACAAGTGCTGAAGATTTCAACTCAGAGTCCACTTCAGAATCTCTGTTATAAGAGCAAGAGAGAAGCCAAGAGTCACACAAAACATTTGGCTTCTGTAGACAGAGTGCATGACACATGCAAAAGACATGGCAAAGCTTATTTAAGGATTTCAATTGAATGAGTGAATTGCCTGATTGGAATGGACTGTTCTATTTGCTTGTGGAAATGCTCCGAAGTCTAATTCTGAATTATTCCTTGTCATTAGTGAGTCCTCTCCAAACAGTTCTACAATATACTGTAATTGTTCGCGTTCTGGATGTTGTGTGCAAAGCCTTTTAAAAACACTTCATAGTGAAGTTAGAAAACTTTGTGTTAACCCTACCTGGTTTATCTGCAGTAAAGATTTGTGATTTTCATAACATTTTGGTTGATTTACTGAACTGGTGTTATTTTTTCATACATTACATGTGATTATTTCTGAGATCTGTTAAGCAGTCAACAAAAACTTTAGACCCGGGTTCACAACTTTTCAAAATAAAACGTAAACAAATGTAATTAAACAAATATAATATCTCTGTCAGTCCAATATAGTGAAAAAGCCTATCTTCGAGCCATACCATAAAGCAAATAAATCTGCAGTTTTTGAATTTATTTTTAGTTATTTTTATATATTACTTGACAAATGTCCCCTAGTGAGAAATTGATATTGAAACAGCTTGAAGGATGTAATATATGATTTATTTTATAAGGTTGTGAGCATCCTTAAGTGAACCTGGGAAAAGGAACTTTCTGTCACAATTGACAATGAAAACTGGGAAGATATTTTGAGGGATACCAAATCAATTTTAGTTTTTAAACGCATTAAACCAATGCAATTTAGGATTATACATAGATTGCACATTTCTCCCAACAAAGACATTATATTAATCCAGGTCTTTCACCCATTTGCCTTAAATGCAAAACGGACACTGGTACAGTAACTCACTGTCTTTGGTAATGCTGTAGACACGGGTATTGGCCTGATGTTCTATCTGAAATTGAACAAATACTGGGTTAGAGCTGGAGATAGACCCAGTGTCTCTTATCAGCCTCCCAAGTAGATCGGTAACATAAAAAGCAACAAGGTATTATATTGCATCCATACCTATGCTGCAAGGAAGAACATTTTACTACAATGTATTAATGAAAAGGCCTGGTGTACAGTGCTTCTGGACTTGGTGCTTTTAGAGTGCCTTACATGCATATTGAATATGAAAACAGACCAATTCTACAAAATCTAGGAAGCCTTTTTGAATTATGAAGATCCCATGGTCTATGCAAACATGTTGCAGGGTTTTTCTTGAATTTATTTACTTATTTTTTTCCTCCTTATCATACCAACTTCTGACACTGTATGTGTACATCTGAGGCACTGTTCGGTGACCTGCTCCCTATGTAAATATAAAGTGTTTAAATATAAGAAAGAAAACAACAATTTTTACAATGTAGATGTTCTTTTATATTCAATTGCTGCCAATAGATCCCTTTCACCTAAATCTTACACACTGCATCTTTAATTCTTTTCTATTGTATCCTTTTTTACGTAACCTATAATGTATCCAGATTTTATTTGTTACAAATGTAAAAATTCACATATGGAATAAAAAAAACTGTCCTGCACATGCATCTGTACAAAGTTTCGCAAGTCTGATAAAGGTCTCATTCTGAACACATCTATCTGATAATATTAAGTTGCAGTGCCATCCAGTGGCAACAGGATATTACTGCTCACTGCAGGTTGACAATATCCACCTCAAATTTTAAAAAGCTTTAATACCTTGATAATTCTGGTGAATATATCTTTTTTTTGCCAATATAATGATCAGGGAGCTTGACAGGGGGCAGACAACCTTGACAGGTAGCACACCAATGGCTTAGCATAGTTTGCTGCACAGGGACAAACCATTCCTCTGGTCCTATGGTGAGAGGAGGAGAAGAGGAGATATGTTATTTAGTAAGTTTAGTTTAGACTTCTAACTTCATATTAGGAGCTGTGCATTTTGATGTGCGTTACTATTATTATCTGCATCTTTATTCTGTACTCTGGAGTTTATACTCTCAGCCGACCCTCACTGGTTGCCTCCACAAAGGAGGTTATGTTTTGTTTACCTTTTTGTTTGTTTATCAGCAGAATTACCCAAAAACTACTGAATGGACTACCATGAAAATGTGTGGAAGGATGGGACATGGTGTAATTATCAAACCCTCATGTCAAGAAAATGTATTTGAGGCTTATTTTACTCTTTATTCCTAAACTTTATTATCCATAATGATAAACACAACAAATACAACCAAAAAGTTGAATAAAGAGAAAACACATACTTTTAAATGCACATCTTTTTGTTTAACATGTAACAGTTTTCGTAATGACAAACTCAAATGCAGAAAAATGTCTGTGAAAGGTTATTTTTCAACTGATAATATTGACCAACTAATTAATGGTTTTGGCTCTAGAATTTATAGATGGTTATATACAGATGTGTCTAAGGAAGATTGGGTCAATTGGATTCCAGAGAGGCCTGATACATGCGATCAGTGCAGTGCAAGGCGGATAAAACAATGGGAGGGAGGTGTGACACTGTGATACAGCCCAGCCCCTGTGTGGAAGTGTGACATGTAGAATGTATGATTGTTTGGAAAGGTAAACAGACAGTAACTGACCCAAAAGCTAATATTCAGGTATTCAAATGTTTAGGATGTGCACCTACACACTTCTGACTTTAAACTGTGTTTTGAAGCCGAGG